ACTTGAAGCAAGCTACTCCGGACAGGGTCGACAGCAAATCTGACATTCAAGAAATGGTGGCGCTTGAAGACCTTCACGGTCTATTCTGGCCATCTACCACTACCTTCGGGCCCACCTTCGGGCCAGGGCGCTCTGCAGGATGAACGCCAGTGGCAAAGCGAGGAATGATGCTCTTTCACTCGCATTCTGAAACCTGCAAGATCTTACACCATTGCCTTCAACTGGACATTTTCTCTGGAAAAAGCCGCACCCCCGCCCCCAGCGGCTAGGGTTCCTGAGCATATGCTAAGCTTCGTTATCTGTGGCACAGGGCGCGCTGCACTGAAGAACCGAGGCAGGATTCGGATTTTATCTCGATCTTTTGAGGCCTGAATCAACTCCTAGACCTCAGAGGACAAAGCTCGAAGAGACCCAGGTCAGAGCCATCCAAGCTGCTTCGTCCAAAGGCTAACGGAGGACCTCTCCTTCATTTCCAGTTTACTTGTGTGGCTCTTGTACTTCTTCGATCGGCAGGGGCCCTTTAATTTTGCAATTCATCATGCAGCAAGCGGGCTGATGAGGTTTGGGTCTGGATTGAAGGTGCAGGCTAATCAACATAGCAGGATCCCTCCGCACTCCATAGTTAACGTTGTTTCATCCTGCTTTTGAGATGCTTAGGGCCGCTTATCCATACAGGCAGCTATGCGGCCAAAGCTACTGTTGCCCAACCCCTCGTACCTTTGCAGAAGCTTCCTCAGGTTCGTAGAAGAACCGCCCCTTTCGCCCTTCCCCTTTGCAAATTGCTAGGCGGGGGTCAACTTAGGTACAAGGAGCTGCCTAATTCTTGGGCTTATGGCGTGGGGTGGCTGAGGACTGTGTAGAGCTGCATTGGCCAGCATGCCAGCCTATGAACCCCTATCGATCCTTCGCGCAGCCTATTCTCCCCGACCTTTGGACTGAAGAAATCGGCCGCTCACACTCCCAAGAGGAGGGGACCGATCTAACTACCATCATCCCCCCACATTCGGTTAGGGAGTATGAAGGAATCCTGCAGCCCCACTGACGACACTGTCTCAAGCGGGGAGGGCGAAGGAACGAAGGGCTACTCTTCACCCCCTTCTAGGGATCGAATCTACTCATTTAAGCACCCTTATAGGAAGGGCGTAAAACTCGGGCTTAGGTTTGGGGGACTGCAGCTGCTAAAGCTGCGAAAGCTCCAAGGGTTTTCTCAAGGATCCGAGCGCAACAGCAATGTCTCACAATCCCCCCAATGGTCGTGCATTATAGCTTTTGAAGCAGAATGTGAAGCAACTGAATCACGGGGAAGCATGCCTTGACACGGTGAGCACGCACTTCCGCGCTTACTGAATCGCTTCATCTCAAGCGCTTTCTCGGCATTCATGGTCCTGGGCAGTGGCCCACATCTCGTGCCTTATGTAGCACGATGGGGCTCCCTTTCAATGTGTGTGGCCCTTCGGCTTTCAAGATGTTGCGCCAGCCGTCAAGAAGGAGGCTTGGGGCTTCTTCAAGCCCTTGCTTTAGGGTCAAAGATGTAGGGAAACGCTGCAGGCACAGCTCTGTAGATCTGCATCCAGACCATGGTACGGAAGAGGAAGCAAAAAGGAGACGCTGACACCAGGAGGCAAGCCACTCACGTGGATCGGTGCTGATCTGACACTTGATGTTTCGCGGCATTCATTATCCAGATTGGGCTCTGAGACACTGTTATTTCGGCTTCGATACTTTGCAGGCAAACTGCAGGCTCTTCCATTCAAGAAGGAAGGCTCAGGCTCTCTCAAGCCCTTATTAAATATCTTACAGGTACATGCTTTGGTTTGCAGGCACACTGCTTTTACGTGTGCGGCAAGGAGCAAGGGCACAGTAATTATGAAGGGTGTGCTCCCGAATACAGGCCTGGCCGGCCTATGGTGAACACGCCTTAGAGGACCCAGGCACGTATCCTAATCCGTCCGGCTTATCCCAGATCAGTCAGCTAAGTGTGACAGGCATAGACATGCTTGGCGTCAAGAGTTTTGGGTTAGAAGTTAGGACCATAAGATCTCATCAGCTAATGCCAAAGGCACCTGGAAATTATTCTGCGTGGAGAGTGGCCAATGTTTATGCGTTCTTCGAAAGTGGCGCAGACAGCGCTTCCAAACATGAAAGCACTCTAGCTAACACTCTAGCTGACTCTAGCTGCTCTAGCTGCGTGGCATGTGCGCAGAACATTTGCTGAACGGCGATTTTTCAACTCATGAGAAGGAGCTCGCTCCTGCCTGAGGCACATGCTGTGTCACTTCGGAATCACCAGGTTTGCTCACGTCAAGGGAATGTGCACATTGCAGAACTTCTGGACGTGTGGAGCAGTACAGCTCGTCATTAAACAGCACGCGCCGCCAGCCAGACTGTGTGATTGAGCGGGAGGCAGGATTCCAGTGTGGTCACGCTCCTCAAGTCATCTCAACTTTTTGAATATGGGCATCGATCGCCAGTGTTGCACCTCGCGACAGAGAGGCTTGCTGGCTGCAGGGACGGATCTGAGCAGATCCGACGTCGACAGCCCGCAAGACTGCACCCTGCGCCTGAGAGGCAACAAGAATCTGCTTTTGTCAGTCGACATGCTGTCGACATCCTGCGATAACAAGCATGCTCACAGTCGCCGCACAATCCATGGCACTAGCCAGCAGCATAAGTATTCTCGGCATTGCAATTCGTGGGAGAACATGACTGTGGTCTCCAAGTAACTTAAGTAGGACTGGGAGAGAGCCACACCGCCAGCTCGGGTTCTTGAGCATATGATAGCACTTCCATCTGAAAGCTACACGTGTAACTTGAAGCAAGCTACTCCGGACAGGGTCGACAGCAAATCTGACATTCAAGAAATGGTGGCACTTGAAGACCTTCACGGTCTATTCTGGCCATCTACCACCAGCTTCGGGCCCACCTTCGGGCCAGGGCGCTCTGCAGGATGAACGCCAGTGGCAAAGCGAGGAATGATGCTCTTTCACTCGCATTTTGAAACCTGCAAGAACTTACACCACCTTCAACTGGACATTTTCTCTGGAAAAAGCCGCACCCCCGGTTAGGGTTCTTGAGCATATGCTACCTGAGCCTCCGGTGTTACATGTGTAGTCACTCGCAGCAAGCTTTCACGGCCCTTTTCACGGCCCTTTCCAAGGTTGACTGCTTCTCTGACACAGTTGAACAACGCTGGTAAGGGCAAGCCGATGTCAGCACACGTTCACATGTGGCCCAGGGCGCACCCTGCACGATGAAGGTTCCGAGCACAAGTACGTTTTCCACCATGAAATCTGCAAAGTCTGCCCTTGCGCTTGCCTCTAGCTGGACATCGAAAGGCAATGGACGGAGCAATCTGCCCCCAAATCCCCCCAAACTCTCAGCCACAAGATCCTCCCCAACACCAAAGAAAGTCTTTGAGGCACCTGTGCAATCTGAGTGGAGTGGAATTTTGCCGCACCTGGTGCCTGGTGAGCTGCCCACATCCTGGACATGTGAAAATCGAGCAATCCACCATCGTCTTGAGACAAAAGCGGCAGCAGCAAATCAAGCAGCACCTGTATGCGTGCGCAAACAATTGACGGCATCCCAAAAACTGCTTCTACTTCTTGATCATCGCAAACCTTTTCTGCGAACTGGATGGCTCACACGCAAACACATGCTTAGCACTCGCAGTTCGGTCTCCTTTTGAACGTGGTGGTCGAAAAAATGCAAGTATGCCGCATGCCTATGTCCCTCGCGAAGCGGCGGCGTAGAATCCACTCCCAGGGAGGGCCGGGTGGGTGCAAAAACAATTCTGCACATGCATGTTGCACCGCATGTGCTTCTATCTGAGCGAAAGTGGCTGCCATGCAGAAAACACTTTTAACCCACAGGCTGAAGAGCCACGCAAGGGGAGGCTCATCACGCAAGCTGCATGGCCTACGGATTTGCCACAGGAAAATGACAGCCCACACCGGCGGGGGAAGCAAAGCAACCACGCACCGCCAGCGGTACTGCCATGCAGGATAACTTTTTGTCTTTAAGTTTTCACAATGATTCCCAATCTATTCCAAATTATGTTCAATAAAGAATCTAGATCACATAAACTCTGTACGAGGACGCTCCCTTCTTTTTTCCACGGTCAGGGGTCAATCAAAAGCGAGGCGTTCGAAGAGTGAAGAGTTCTTTCGAAGGTTTTCGGTTGGAGCACCCAGCATGTATGCGTTGAGATGCGCACTGGCTGTTTAGGTGCATGTTACCGATTTGCCCCAACACGCATAATCCCCCCCCCCCCAAATCGGTAAGGAGACACCGAGGGTGGGAGGGCGGGTGAAAAAGTTTAGCGTAGCTCAGCACTAGCATTGCCCATGTCTGCGTACATCATGGACTGCCATGCATGTGTGCCAGTGCGAAACGAGCCATGCTGAAAGAACGGCGCGCAATATCATTGTCAGTCCCTATGTGGGGCCTTGCAGGGGGTTCCGGGGATTTCCAAAAATTCCGGGAATTTTCAGGATTCCCCGGGTTCCCGCATCAGTCTACACAACACCGGTAAACCCGCTCTTGTGCCTGTGTCTTCAAACACATACAGTCCGGATCACAAGGGTGCCTCCAGTGGTCTGCGAAGCACCTTTAAACAGCACGAACGTGTGCGGAGTTCAAAACTAAGTTTGGAAAGATTTTGGAATCATTGCTCAGCTAAGGCGGCTGCTATGAAAACAGAAAGACAACTTTGTCGCTTCGCGAAGACGCCGTCTTTAAGTTTTCACAATGATTCCCAATCTATTCCAAATTATGTTCACTAAAGAATCTAGATCACATAAACTCTGTACGAGGACGCTCCCTTCTTTTTTCCACGGTCAGGGGTCAATCAAAAGCGAGGCGTTCGAAGAGTGAAGAGTTCTTTCGAAGGTTTTCGGTTGGAGCACCCAGCATGTATGCGTTGAGATGCGCACTGGCTGTTTAGGTGCATGTTACCGATTTGCCCCAACACGCATAACCCCCTTTAAAAGTGACCGTAACTATTTGAGGAGTTCCCAGGGTATCTGTACAGTAGCCATGCACTTCGCGCACAGACTCTCAATATCAAGTGCAGTCTCACGACCTTTGACCAGGGCTGCTGTCTCCGCAACCAGTCCTCTGCTCGGAGCATCGGCTATGTTACTCTGAGACGGAACGCGCTCCAGCCAAGTGACTCCATGATCTTTATTCTCGAGCTCGAAGAAAATTGCAGCCAGCAGCAGCATCGTTCGCGATCTGCTCGCCCCTTTAACCAGTACTTCTCTAGCAGCTTCGTTGTCCACGAAATAGATGGTTCTCCTTCCTGTGAGCAGACGGGAGAAGGATTCTCGGGCTGCGACCACTGCGAACGCCTCAGCCTGCGCGATCACTTGTTCAGGGCTGTCCAACCGCCAGAAGCCAACCAGCGAGTCTGGGATCCTCCCTCCAGCGACTAGCCGTGTGCCAGAAAAGGGATCGAGAACCACCACGCCATAAGACGCTACCCCATGTTCATAGGCAGCATCAGTAAAGATCACCACGGGACTCACTGGTCCCCTGCAAGCGAAAATTCTAGGCGTGCAGGCGTCTATGAGATCCACCCCGTAGTCGCAGAGAGAGCGCAAATCAGAAGCCGTCCGCATCCCGGGATCGCGAAGAAAACTTCCCAGGGCTCTTTGCAGCAACTTTAGACCTCTTCCCGAAGCAAACCCGACAGCAAAATTCACCTGCCCTTGCAGCGATTGGATGGAATGAATATCCCATTTCCCACTCAAGCTCATCTGGAGCAACGCGTCCTTCATCCTGTCCAACCTGCTAGGCTTGTTGTGCAAGGAGACCACGCCATCAGCGATGCCGCCAGCGTTCAGCCTAATTCCCAGAAGATCGAAGGTTTCTTCGAAAGGCAGCGATTTCTCAGGTTCAGTTGAGTACTTCCACCCAAGCTTCCGAAGCATGTGCTCAAATGACTCGGAAGAAAGCTTTGCCGAAGCATCCACCTCCAGGAGTGGAAAGTCGTCGTAGAAGCACCCTGAAACCAGGCCCAGAAGATGCCAACTTAAGTGCAAGATCGATCTTGAAAGCCTGTTAAAAGCGAATACCGAAGAAGTAGCCCCAAAGGGGAGGCTCTGCGCCACGAAGTAGCAGTGTTTGCCTGTCGATGGTTCCGTGACCATAACGACACCAAACTTCAGTGAATCGCAAGACAGTGGAACTTGTCGGTAAGCTTTTTCGAGGTCTAGCGTGCGCCCCAGCCATCTAGGCGGCCGAGCCTTCCATTGGGAATGAAGTTCGCCACGAAGCACCTCTCCGCTGCTGAGCTCCACTTCCAAAGGTGAAGAAGGATCAGAAACTCTAGCTATGTACGTGCTGATGGCTGTCATCCAATTGACATCAAAGAGAGCAAGCTTTTCCAGGCAGTGGTAAGCCTCGTTGACCCCCCCCTCCTTGTAGTTGTCGATGGGTCTGGCCTTTGGCCTTTCTGGGGTTCCTTGCTCTATGAGGAACCGCCTCGAGCACACGAACTCGTCGACGTCCAGGTGCTCCTTGACCTCATTCTCGGTGTAGAAGGGGCCTTTCAGAAAGCCGTTGTCCCTGTCTTTGATCGTGCAATCCCAGAGCTTCTGCCTCGCAGCCGCATCGTCCTTGTGCGGGTCGCGTCCCTTGAGTCGCTCCCTTCTCCAGCTGGCAGATTCCAAAAGCAGGTTCCATCCGACGTTGCCGGGACTTCTTTGACATCGAAGAGCGGAGACTTGTCGGGCTTGCCCACAAGATCCACTCCTTTCATCAGCTCGAAGACGCCCCCGTCCGCGAACGACGTCTCCTCCAAAAGACGTGCCCAGAGCAGCAAATTCTTGCCCTTGACCACTTCGCGAACATGCTCGGGCAGCACTGAGTGTAATCGCGCCTCCTCATATCGAAGTTCCTTTTCCAGCTGGTTCAGCTTCTGGAACATCTGAACCCTTTCCGAAGCGAAAGCCGTCGGCCCCTCCGTCAATCTCCGAAAGATGTTCCTCTTCACCTCATCAGGAACACAGTGCTGGGTGTCGAAGGGATGGTCAAGCTCCAGTGCACATTCGACGAACTCCTGAGGCGTTCTATATACCCCAAACCTCCCGCTACAACCCTCTAAATCGGAGGTAAACTCTTTAAAGGGCCGGTCTAAAGGGGGAGCGGTGCGAAACTCGAGGAACTCAGACAAGAGTTTGCGGGCGCCCTTCTGTTGCGGCCACAAAGGTCGAGGACCTGCCGGGGGATCAAGTCGGGCTGGCAGGCCCGCTGCTGCGGAAAGGAGGGACGCCATTTCGGAGCATAGTCCCGCTGGATACTCGGCCTCCTGAGCAGTAGAGAAACTCCAAGATCCGTTGCAGCGGTAGACAAGGTAGGGCAAATGTTCATGCAGGCCGTCGCAGTCTGCTTCCATGCTCTGAAGCGAAGCATGACTGCACCGAAAGCGAGTGCGTTTCGGTCGCTTGCCGCCTTTCATGCAGTTGCTGAAACACACTTCCCGCATGGAGGACCAGCGCTTGACCAGGGAGGGGCACTGGGAGGCGCGAACAAAGTGGGCCAGGACCGCCCAAATCCAGGAGTTCTCCGGATTCTCGATGCTTATTTGACAAGAGCTGGGCAGGTGCTGCAACAAGAAAATCACGAAGCGACAGAGCTCATTGGACTTGTCGACGCGGAATTGATCCTTTCCTGAAAGCCCAGGCAGTCCAAGAACGTTCTCACCGTCCCTCAGGGGACGAGGGTCAGGCGCACCTTGGAGACGAGCTCTCTTGCTGATAGGTCGCTCACGAGCGCGACTGCCAGTGCCGCACGGGAGGGCAATGTGGACTGCGAAGGGAGGCTCCTGGAGAAGCCGGGCCAGAAGCTGCTGCTGACAGGCTTCTTCGGTGAGGTCCAAGACCAGCACGGGATGCTCGGGCCTGTGCGGGTTCCATGGGGAATCAACAGGCAAGACTCGAAAGCCAGCGGCATGACAGAACTTGGAGAGGCGGGCGCAACCTGCAAAAAGCTCAACAAAGAGCGGTCCTGGACGATCAGGGTCGGCCTGAAACATGGGTGTGGCAAGGGACAGGGTCCTGGGGATGGTCTGAGTGGCAGGTGGAAGGGGAAACTCAAGGGCTTCCAAGAAGGATCGGGTTCGGGAGGGCATATCGGCGGCCCCCTTGGCACTGTAACACACAAGCAAGGAGCGATCACCTTTCCACGGCAGGGTGGCGTGTCGCCTGTTGGGCGCAGGCAAAAAGCACAACCCTTGCGAGACTTCAAGGACATAGCCCCACAAGGTTTGACCCCGATGCAAAAAGGAGACACTGCCGGCTGGGTCCTCACACCAGACACCTCCCTCAGAGAAGGCGGTCAAAGGGTACAAGAGGTTTTGGCTTGCAGGGTCATTCGCAGTGTCCTGGTGAAGGTCGGTTTTAAGGTTTGTAAAGACTGCAATCGTAGTGCACGTGAAGTCAGGGCAAAGTCCTCTGACGAAGCGGGAGAAAACTCGAGTGGACAAGGGGTGCTGTTTGCTCGTGTCGCGAACAAGCAAGCCCGGGAGCTTGGAGCAAGCGAAAGCACCCAAACTAACAGAACGGCTACCGGAAATGTCAACTCCCCGGGCGGGGACTTCCGACGGCAAAGCAAGGCTCAAACGCAAAAGGTCATCTGGAGATATGCAAGATCGGCTGAGGAGCGAACTGGCGAGCTGTTCAGCAGCGTAGCGGTTGCCACCGGTCTCATCATCCCGAAAGACGGGATTCACTATGCCGGCGGCCGCAGCGGCCGATCACTGAAACTCCGGACACTCGTAAGCCGGATGAGGTCCCAGGCACTTCCAGCACACATGGCGCCCTCGTCGGCACCTCTTTCCCGCCTTGGCGAAGGTGCAACCCCGTAAGTTGAAGGAGAAACACAAGGGCTTTCCCTCGGCGTCCTGAGAGTGGCAGCCGGAGGGCACGGTCCAGGTCTTTTTCTTGTCCCCTTCGCCAGGAGTCTTGGGCGCCTGCGGATTGGTCGGAGGCTTGAGAGCAAGATCACGGTCCTTGCGCACAGGCTTGTTAGGCGGCTTGTTGGGTTGTTTGGGCTTAAGGGGAAGATCTGGATCCGGGGCAGTCTGCTTAAGCAACGGGATGAGGTAGCACTGCACCTGCGTGTGATCCTTCCACTTGGCGAGCGAAGCCTCAAAAGGGTAGGAGCCATCGGGTCGAATGGACAAAGCTCCTCTGGTGTCCTCAGCGATGCGGGTCCACAGCATTTTGTCGGCCTCACGGAGCTGTTGGAGGGAGACACGTTGCATCCCTGGTGGCTGAGAGCGCATGTGCGTCTGCAAGAGCTGATCATGCCAGCGCTCCAAATGCTCATAGCGGCAAATCCGTCCCAACTCGAAGGCAAGGCTGCGGCGTTGCAGCGCCAACTTGATGGCGTATTCCCCTAACGTGCTGCAGCTGGGGTCACTGGAACGGCGGAGCAACTTCAAGTTCCCAGCACAATCGAACCCCACAGAATGGTCGACCTTCTCAGTAGTGATCTCAAGAGCCCGACTGGTCAGGCGCTCCCATGGCAGCCAGAGCAGGGATTGATCGGCGACCATTTGTGCAACCAAGTCTTGGAGCTTGCGCGAGGGCTCAACGTCAGCGCTCCAATGGATGCCCACCAGGCGTTTCTGCAACTCACTGATGCGTTGGGTGCGCTCAGCGAGAGGCATGCGAACTGGCTCGGAGGTGTCAGTCCGCTCGACTTTCCCACGCATCTCAGCAAGGGCTTGTGTGGTGCTCTCAAACCAAAGTCTTCGAGCAATGCATAGCACTTGGTCGCTGGGCGCCTGCCCCAAGGCACGCTTCAGGGTAGCAACCAAAGGGCCTTCATCGCTGTTCCCGGCCGACAAAGGGCCGATGAACGCTAAGGAACCGAAGGTGTCCACATGCACGGCCGCCAGCTTAGCTAAAGCCTCCTCTGGAAAATTGAGCTCCAAGGCTCGTGCCTTGAAGGCTGCACGACTATCAAGTGAGGACATGTTGCCTCGGGACAAAAGCTGCGCGGAACACAAGGCAGAGCTGCATGTGGCATGAAAGTTGCATAATGTCACTGAAGCTCAGAATTTGCAGAACGCTACCCTGAAGCTCAAAGTTGCAGAAAGCTACACAGCTCGAGAATGTTGACCAAATACTGCACCCACGCCGGCCACGGACGGACCTGCATCGCCAGGCGGCTTGGGGTCAGTCCCGAATACCGCCTCGTAGACGACGAGCAGACCGGATACTGTCGTAGTACAGCTTAGCGCGGCTAGGGGAGTACCCCGGTTACCGCGGGCAGCAAAGACTTGATTTGCATGATGTCTAAGGACATGTAAATAGCAGTCCAGGAACTACAAGCGGGGTGCAGCTTGGCTAAGCGCCTCAACGCGGGCTTGGATGAAATCCGAGTACCCGGCCGACAGGCGAGCAAAAGGAAGAGAAAGGGCGCAAACTGTTTTAGCTCTCCGCGGGACGGTATCAGCTGCTCTTGTATGTTTGGCTACACCGCTTGCATACGAGCAGGTCAGAGGCAGGAACATTCTGATCCAACTCGCCAAAATTGCGGGTTATGGGTCGGCCACACAAGAACTTGGCCCCTTCGGAAGCCTGTATATGCACCGTCCTGCTGTAAATATGCATCTTGCTGAAAACACTCGAAACCTGCGCCGCCGTGAGAGCAGCATCAAGAGGCACCCCCACAGCTCTGGCCTCGAGATCGTCGACGTCCAGGTCAGAGCCCTCAGCTTCGGAATCCGACACAAAAGGGTAGCTCAGCACTAGCATTGCCCATGTCTGCGTACATCATGGACTGCCATGCATGTGTGCCAGTGCGAAACGAGCCATGCTGAAAGAACGGCGCGCAATATCATTGTCAGTCCCTATGTGGGGCCTTGCAGGGGGTTCCGGGGATTTCCAAAAATTCCGGGAATTTTCAGGATTCCCCGGGTTCCCGCATCAGTCTACACAACACCGGTAAACCCGCTCTTGTGCCTGTGTCTTCAAACACATACAGTCCGGATCACAAGGGTGCCTCCAGTGGTCTGCGAAGCACCTTTAAACAGCACGAACGTGTGCGGAGTTCAAAACTAAGTTTGGAAAGATTTTGGAATCATTGCTCAGCTAAGGCGGCTGCTATGAAAACAGAAAGACAACTTTGTCGCTTCGCGAAGACGCCTTACCTGTCTGAGACCAGCCCTCACCAGCACGGGAAGCAAGGTGACCACGTGCCGTCAGCGCACGGGGCGGCTGCCGCAGCAGTGCGGACACACGCACAAAGCCAGCAGAGAGCGGAATGGCATGGGAGTCACTCAGAACTCAGAAGGTTGATCATTGGTGCACGGGCGGTACACAGACCAGGCTGACGCGGTAAGGGTTGGGTCAGAAGAGGTATTGCCTCACCCGTGAACGCTGAGGTCCCAAGACCGTGGGCAATCCGTTCCCAATAACGTACCTGGCCGACCTGGCCTACGGCTTTACAGCATGATGCCGGTGCCCAAAGTCATCAGACCGGATCTGGCAGGTGCACGCAAACGCAAACTCGGCATGCTGAACCGCTGCACTGCACGCATGACTTATTGGTGTGGCATGAGCTGCAAAAGGATTGCCCCGACGGCCGTCGCCGCGGGAAGACGAGCCAAAACCCGTCAAGGACAGACATCCTGGAAGGCTCGCGCACCTGAATATGCAACATAAATTATGCAAGGGGCTTGGGGGCTTTATTTCTGGGGCCCAGGCTCGAGGCTATAAGCCATACAACTGCACGAAAAGTGCCTGCACGTCACCTTCGGGAGCACCGTGGCCTTGGCTGCTACGTCAGCTGCAATTCATGGTGTGTCACCCCGTGCAACCCGAACACAGCGCGGCCTCCGCAGGAGGCTTGAAAAGCTGAAATGTGTACGGCTGAGGTACTGCTGGATAGAGAGCTTCGAACAATGTGGTGGACACTGAAGGTTTGAGAGTCGAGGGCTTAGATGCGTCGACTCGACGCCACCTTGCAGGGGAAGGCGGGGTGTTGTGTGAGTTGTGTGTGTTGTGTGTGTTGTGTGTGTGTGTGTTGTGTGTGTGTGTGTTGTGTGTGTGTGTGTTGTGTGTGTTGTGTGTGTTGTGTGTGTTGTGTGTGTGTTGTGTGTGTTGTGTGTGTGTTGGTGTTGTGTGTGTGTGTGTGTGTTGTGTGTGTGTGTTGTGTGTGTGTTGTGTGTGCGTGTTGTGTGCGTGTTGTGCGTGTTGTGTGTGTGTGTGTTGTGTGTGTGTGTGTTGTGTGTGTTGTGTGTGTCTGTGTGTTGTGTGTGTTGTGTGTGTGTGTTGTGTGTGTTGTGTGTGTGTGTGTTGTGTGTGTTGTGTGTGTGTGTGTGTTGTGTGTGTTGTGTGTTGTGTGTGTGTTGTGTTGTGTGTTGTGTTGTGTGTTGTGTTGTGTGTGTTGTGTGTGTGTTGTGTGTGTGTGTGTTGTGTGTGTGTTGTGTGTTGTGTTTGTGTGTGTTGTGTTTTGTGTGTGTTGTGTTTTGTGTGTGTGTGTTGTGTGTGTTGTGTGTGTTGTGTGTGTTGTGTGTGTTGTGTGTGTTGTGTGTGTTGTGTGTGTTGTGTGTGTTGTGTGTGTTGTGTGTGTTGTGTGTGTTGTGTGTGTTGTGTGTGTTGTGTGTGTTGTGTTTGTTGTGTGTGTTGTGTGTGTTGTGTGTGTTGTGTGTGTTGTGTGTGTTGTGTGTGTTGTGTGTGTTGTGTGTGTTGTGTGTGTTGTGTGTGTTGTGTGCGTTGTGGGTGCTGTGTGTGCTGTGTGTGTTGTGTGTGTTGTGTGGGTTGTGTGTGTTGTGTGCGTTGTGGGTGTTGTGTGTGTTGTGTGTGT